CAATGTGAATTGATTATTGTAAAGAAACTTACATCTTCATCATAGAGAACACCCCAATGCGCATCAAGAACTGTATTCAAACGGAAGTCATCATAGGGCTCCACGGGATAAACGTCGCCCTGCAATAATGAAATGAGGTTCGCTTATGTTCAATCCAAAATGGCAAAGGCAAGAGTAAAAGCTGTGCACATACATGTTATCGTCGTAAATGATAACAGTTAATGATTTTATCAGAGGACAACACAGTTTGTTGTGCGACATATAAATAACTAAATATCTGGAATGTATTGTGAATGAGGCACCCATTATATGATAGGAGAACCCCTTTCAGCGTTACTAAAAAGGATTCCATATAAATAAGAATTAGATAACTATGCGTGCATGCAGAGAAATTAACCGCACATATGAAATCTGCTCGATAGAAAAAGAACAACAAAAAAACATACCCTTGAGGCAGTAACAGCATCACCATTGAGCGTACGATTTGCTTTCACTGCAAGAGCACCATCAGACGTGGACTTCTCAAGATCTGGATAAGAATCTGCAGAAAATCTCCAGAAAGGAGCTGTTGCACCCATCTTTTCTCGTCTCAAAGCAATCTGTCGGACAAGTCAAATTGAACACCTCACTTAGATGATACTTGCATAACGTATAAAAGATTGAAGGGAAAAAAAAGTGCGTCAACATCTAGACGGGTTGCATGACCACCCTAACTTAATTTGCATCATTGATTGCAAGTTCAAAATGCATTTTGGGAGAACATATGCAACAGAGAAATCAAGAATTATGGGAAGTACAAAGGAAGCTGTTGACAAATATCATCCATTACTCATCCATGCTAGTGCACAACGATGTTCAACTCCCATAGAAAATTGTCTTGGCATCTCCATGCCAACAATAAGTACCTTCCTGATTGGGAATACTATTCCAAATTGTTAGTCGTGAACATCTTGACAGTTCAAGTTCTTTGGCCACTCATGAACCGTTTAATTATTGGATATCCTACACATATGACTCGTTGCATGCGTTGTTTAAGACGGTTGCAGCCATTAACACATGCATAAATGGACATCAACATCAGAATGCAAAATATAGAACTTGCCTTTCCAGTTCTTGCAAGCTCTTTGATCCCAAACTTGCTTAAGTTCCTTTGAACAGCAACCACCTTCCCAGGGTCCCCAGTAATCTGAGATGAACTGATTTTGTAAGTATGGATGGATTTGGTACCAGTATGACTATAAGAGGCCATAAAGGAAATTGCAAGTCGGCACACTCTTTGTATGGCAAGAGGATATTGGCTAAAGCAACTTATAAAAGTTCCAAGATTTACAAATGCGGGTTGAGCAAACTAAACAACTAAAGGAGGCATAAGCATTAAAATTCACCTCAACTGTTAGTGACTGTTCAGAGATATCAACAATTTTTGCTCTGAAGATGTCCACTAACCACATTATCTGAAAATCAGATCACACAAACAAGATCAGGTAAAATGATAACTAAAATGATAAAAGAGCATCTTAAACAGTGTTGATAACCATCAAACAAGAAGTTAACCAGCCTGCAATACCAATGCAGAACACAACAACATCCTAGTACACACGCAAAAGAGGGCCGAAAACACAGAAATACAATAGAATGCAACATGACGTATAACAAATCAACATGTTCTGTGGCGAAAATTACATTTTAAAATTATCTATAGAGAATTATACAGATGAATTAAAACCACATATTACTGATGATTATTCTTAGGGGTGGATCATTTAAACATATCAGAACGATTATCCAAATATTGGTTGGATGATCCAAAAATTTACCTCTGCACGGGTACTTGGATCTGCATTAAGTTTGATAAGCATCAGTTCACGTTCTACTTGTGGCTCCCTTGAGATGTCTTCGACCTGATAAAGCAGAATTATAAGTGAAGATAATGCAGAAACTACCAAAAGGTTTTACACGAAATACTAAAGACGTCCACCAACCTTTATCACATTCACCAACTTGTTCAGCTGTTCAACAACCTGCCTCAACACCTTTTCAGTCCCAGACACAACTATGGTAAAGAGAGCCTTGTCCTTGTTCAAACCAACAGCAAGAGACTCGATATTGTAACCTCTCCTGGCGAAAACCCCTGCTATTCGGTTTATGATTCCACTCTCATCCCCAACAAACACTGAAATAGTATGGCGTTTTACCCTGAAATGATTATAGAACCAGAATTGAAAACTTGAAATCACCTTGAAGTCTTTCCAGATAAAAAATTTCTTGCACATTCATGACAAAAAAGGAAATAGTCTTCCAGGCCCATGACCTGGGATTCCGAATCATCGCTACAAAAGCTTTAGAAATGATGAACTAATTATGCCTCATTGACACAGCCATCGCCTATATCTTTTACTTTTGCTACACTTGCCATAAAAGTATTAACTCCCACATCAGTTTTTCACTCCCTTGGTCCATTGAGAGCAAGGATACTTTAGTTTGGTCGTGTATCCCGTATCCGATACTTCAACTGATACGATACTCATCATATACTCCGGATACTTGCCAGATAAAAGTATTCAGCTTTTAGGATACCGTTACACTTTCAAATGAGAAATTAAGATGAGAAATTTAATAGGAAACAAAGATTTAGCTGAAAGTTGATGAATACAAAGAGCTTGCCTCTAATTGAAACAAGGAATATAACTCCCACACTTGAATGAACTTTTGAACGTTTTCATGTTAAAATATGTTTCAAATTATATATTTTTATTGTTGTATCCATGATGTATAGTATTCTAGTTTTTAGAGATTTTACGTATCACCGTATCCATGATGTATAGTATTCTAGTTTTTAGAGATTTTACGTATCACCGTATTGTGTTGTATCCTTATCCATGCTTCAAAGTTACATTCTTTTTAACTGAAGTTCCAAAATTGAACAGTAAATATAAATTTGGCTGTGGTCACCATCAAAGTCGATTTACCCGAACTTAAAAAAAAAATTATTGGTTGGAACAATTAAATTATCAAAGCCAATTACCCAATGATAAAATTATTGGTTGGAACAATTAAATTATCAAAGCCAATTACCCAATGATGAAAATAAAATTTATGTTACTCGCTAAATATTAATAAATAAAGACAAAAATAACAATGTTAAAACAGTTCTATGCAAAAGCACTAAATCCAGCAGCTAAAATAACAAAAACCCCACAAATATTCAGCGAGACCCAAGAAACAAAGCAAGTAAATTTCAACCAAAAAGTGCACAAAAATACCAAAAAATGAAACTTTATTGCATGCAAAGCAAACCCAGAAAGAGTCGAAACGTAAATTAGAGGGGGAAAAAGCAAATTTAATCACGAGAAGTACTCACTTAGAAGTCAATGAAGGCACAGAATCACTGACAGAAACAGCATTGCCAGTGCTAGCAGAGATCACCAGCTTCTTCAGCTCGGAACTCTTCCCTTTGAGCGGCCTCTGGCGGCCAAGATCGAAGCTTGTGGAAAACCCATGCCGGAAATCCACTGGGAAACTCGGTTTCTGGGCCACTAGTGAAGTGGAGAATGGTGATGACACAGCCGCCATTGGTGGGTTATTTGGAGAGAGGGATCCTGACAGTGTCTTATGAAGAGAGAGAATCAGAAGGCGCGACCTGAGATACTAAAGAAAGAAGACCTCGGGAGCCATTTGGCAAATTTTGGCACGTGAGAGATTCTGAATCTCTTTGATGAACGGTCATCGACGATGGCCTTTCGCCACGTGAGATTCTGAATCTCTTTGATGAACGGTGATTGTTGATGCGAATCGACGATGGCCCTTCGCCACACAACACAATGATCAAACGTGTTTCGTGAAAACCTAAACATATTAGCAATTGGACTAATCACTTTTTTAGTAAAACATTGTGGATTAATCTGTCAACTTCTTTTTTAGTGTTGCAAAATATATACTTCACTAAAATTAAAGGGGTGTGATAGTCACACACCCAAATTTACTTCTTACACATATTTTTAATTTTCGGCCGTCGGATCAGATGAATTGAAGAAAATCAACGGACAGAAATTATCAAGGATGTGTGAGAAGTAAAATGGGGTATGTGGATAGCACATCTCAAATTAAATTACACAAACACAAAAGCGTGCTCTAGTATCTTTGATCTCTCCAAAAAAAAAAATATCATGGAAACGATAGTACTCGTATCGTACTCAACCAGAAAAAGAGTATAAAAGAGCGGCAAAAGCCGACTTAAGTTTGGTTACAATCTTCAGAGAGTAGGTCAAGAATAGATCTTGGAGGAGAGTCCGTTCAAATGCAAAAAAAAATCGACTGTGAAACTGTAACAGGCAAGATGATGGGCTACCCCGTTAACTTGGCAGCGAACATAAGTATAATTGACCTCAGTGATCAAAGGAAGCAATGATTTCATATACTCCATAATTTGTTCAATGGAAGATGAATTGGTAAAAGGATAATTCAAAGCTCCAATAATTTGAAGTGAATCACTCTCGATATAAATTTTTTGAAAGCCCTAGCTACCGCCCAAACTAAGCCTTCATGAAACGCCAAAGAAGTCATTGAAATTCCTCGAATGCCTTTAGGAAGCAACATGCATGTATCTATTTTAGAAAATGGCTTTGTACTTATTTGACCAATTATCTTATGACTTGGACAGGAAAATGTTAAGACAAAAACGGAGAAAGTTGGAGAATCGTCAAAGCAATTCTTACGCGAAGTTATATTGATGTTGTGAAGTCGTAGAAATGCCTTTAAAGAAGGGCTTAATTATGTGACTTGTGATGCTCTTTCACAAAAAAAGTCATAAAAAATGATGGAGGTGGTACATTCACACTAAATAAATCAATCATTAATATTGGTAAATTGTCAAATAAACATCTTTAGGCTGTATTTATTACTGTAAATAAATACACCGATAAACTAAATAAATATGTATGTGTATGTATTACACAAATGTGTCATAATGTCACGTAAAAAAACAGAAGTTTTTCCAAAAATGACTAATCAGAAATTTGACTATTTGAGTGTTACACATCAACAACAACAATAATGTATTATTTCAGTAAATGAGGTCGGCTTTATGAATTAAAAAATAAAAATAATATATATATACACACACATATAGAGGAATGGAATAAAAAAAAGAAAAGAAAAGAAAATGAACAAAATGGATTGTTGATGGAACAATTGGAGAGAGATTAGGGCACCACATAGGCTGGGGAGTGTATAGACACTGAGAAGATGACATAAGCAATCCCAGTGCAAAAAAGAATGGTGAGCACCCACCCACATATGAACTTGAACAGGAGCTTCCGGTTAACATTCTGCAAAAAAAACGAAAACATTAAGGGTCTGACTGAACGTTTTCCTATAACTTATCGTTAAAATGTTCTTGGTGTGTGATGACGAGAAACGAACTTGTATTTTGAAGGAATCTCACCCGAGCGTCGTCTGCGACCCCAACTCCTACTAACGATCCAACAAAAACATGAACACTTGAAACCGGAAGCTTAATCTTATGAACCAGAATCATTGCTGCTACAGTGGACAGTTGCGCTGCTAAGCCTCTTGAGTTGCTTATATAAGTGAGCTTCCCACCTAGGCACTGTGTCAGCCTCCTGCCACAGATCAAGAAACCAACTGCTGCACCAAATCCGCCAATCGCCTTAAACCACCAGTTCACATGGATGGATTCCTACAAGAATCTCATATTGATTGGTCAAGAGGATAAGATATGGAAAATAGAGGTAGACGCGTGATTGTATACAGTCGTTAACTCACCACAGATTCCCCATTTCCGGAGTATTTCACCCTGTGTTGAAATACATCAAGAATAGCTCCATATGGACTCACAATGGCAGCTACTTCATTAGCAGATTGAATAAGCCTGCAATGCCATGTGTCAATATCTTCACTATACGTTATATCAAATGAATTTTTGTTTTTCTGGCAGAAATGAACTTACGCGAAGATACACGAAGCTATAATCTGTGGGAAAATGAACAAGCCTTCAACATCATCATATTTTTCAGCTAGAGCATGGCGAACAAGGGTCTGTCTGTCATACTCGTTCGCCTATTCAATTACATAAGCACAAGGTGTTAGTGTAATGTAAGGTAATGTGACCGAACATTCAGGCAAGTACGAAATACATATATAGGACTCACATGAGAAAAAGCTGATTTGGATGAGCCTCTTATGAACCGAAGGGCATTCTCAACCGGTGTTGTAATTTTGTCAATCTTGTGAAAGTGCCTTGATTGACCCTGGTTTGGAGAAGATTCAAGCAACTGCCTAAATGACCTAGATTTCTCCGTGTTAGACTGATCTTCGGAAACTGAGTGACTATGAGCAGGCGTAGGTTCGGGTTCAGGTTCCTTTATTGAGTCCGGTGAAGCCCAGCTCCTCTCATCCTCTTCTTCGTACACGGTATCAAGGACTCTCATCTGCATGAAATCTTTCAAGGCTTCTTCAAACTGCGCTTCGTCATCCAAAGATTTTGTACTAATGCATGTTTGTTCTTGGCTTTCGATGCACTTTTGGTCTATGGATTTAGACATGTTTCTCTTCTTGGTCTTGTAATTTCTGTCTACATTGACTTTCTTCATGGCCAAAGGAATCACCAAACCCTATTTTGTAGAGATCCCAATTAAGGTTGAACATAAATATGGGCAAGGAAGGTTTAAAAAAAAAAAATCTTATTTTGTTACAAATGTTACCAAAGATAATAGTGCTCCAGTCATGGTGGCCGTGGCAACTGCAGCAATGGTAACCCAACTGTGAACCGCTGTTAGACGGAATGACCTGCCATATGGACAACAAAGAAGGAAGATATTGATGCAGATAACGGTGTTGGAGAAAAAAATCTCACATCGGAAAATCGACAAAAGTAAAATGTAATATATAATAAAGTTCTACTACTAATTGCACTCAAGGAAATTTACCTGAAACATGAAAAAGAGGCAAAGCAGTCCAGCAGATATTCCATAGGCAAATGGGAGAAAAACAAGAACCCATTTTTCAGCATGTTCACGACGAAGCAGAGAAGCCTTCATTACGCTGAAGAGTATGAGTGCACAAGCGAAGGCAATGAGTGGAGCCACAGTCCATTCAAGAAATATCCAAAGAATTCCTCCGCCATTGAAATTGTGATTTGCGTTCTGTATTTCACAATTGCTCGAGAGTAAGAAACAAAAGAATAATAGCGAAAGACAAGACAAGCGTAAGCATTTGACATCAAAGGTTTACATGTTTTCGGAATGAATAGCACAAAGAGAATGTTGAGTTACCGAAGAGAAGTGAAATTATTTTCATTTTTCATTCTCTTGTAAGGTTTTCGCTGCAACGTCCTAATCAAGCAATTGAATCTGTATATCACCTTAATTACCTTATTCCACAAGGGTAAGTAGCTAAAACCTTCAGTAACAAGTATAGTTCCCAGTAGAGCACCTTGCATCGATTGCTGCGGTGAGACTGGCAGCTGCAAGTATGTAGCCAAAGCAAGCCAAGTTGCTGTCCAAAAAATTACAGGCATGAGAAAATTAACATACAAAAAATTGCATACAGCAACATGCTAATGTTGTAGTATACCTGCAGTGATGAGAACAACTACCATACTCCACATCAAGAAACCTTCACTTGGTTGATTTTCCTTGAGAAACTGGGAATATAGAAAACTCTATTAGCTATTTATACGTTACAGCCCTTCTACGAGTGCAGTTAACTACATTTTTTCAGTTAAGTTTATCGACAACATATTGATAATCATATCGTCACACATCGACAACTATAAGGTCAGAAGCTTCAACACTATCAATAATATGAATGAAATACACAATTTCAAAAGTGCAGTTAACCACGTTGTAGAAAAATCCATGTTATAGCGACCAATTTCTTTGGAGGTAAAATAGAATTGAATTGGAGCAACATAGAGTGTTTTAATCCATACATCAGAAAACAAGTCATTCACAGAACAGCCGCAACTTGCAAAGGCTGCTCCAGGAACGTAGATCACACAAGCCACAACAAATGCCTTTAGAAGTGTCAGACTCCCTGACTCAATTGGTGTCGAAAACTGATAAACATCAAACAAACCAAAAACAAATTTCAGATGCTATAAAATGGGCCATCAAATATCTATGAACATGAACATGTGCATAACAAATGTGACTAGCCATTAACTATGAACATGAACCCTAATCAAAAAACACAAACCGGAGCCGGAAGATTGTTTCCACCAGTCAAAAAAGCCGCAGCAATTGCAGCAACAGCTCCAAATATTGGTATCCATCTATAGGTCTCCTTCCACTGCCTCACAACATTGATGGCTATATCCACCGGACCACTATCGTTCCCCGATGACATTTTTTCGTCTGTCCGAGTTTCGATTCTTACGTATTATGCCATGGAGAGGGATGGTAATGTCATATAGGCTAGTGATCGATACTGTTAGTGACATTGGATTAATCGCCAGAGTGCATAGGTTGTGCTGTTTTTTCTTATGGTGTGTAGTGTTTCTTGTTTCGGTTGGAATTCTATGACTTGGACGTGTGTGTCGTTCCCCTTGTAATTCACTGGGAAACGGATAGGCACATTTTTGTTTATTTTTTGCTCTCCAATATTTTAGTTTTATCCACAGCATCTTTGACACTTTCATTTTGGCTACCTATTATTCTGTTATGTGGGTTGAAATTGGTAGGAAAAAACTTGTCCAATTCTTTTCGTATTGTTATTGTGATCTTCAAAAAAGTTATCCTATGTCCCTTTTTTCTTTATATTTTCCACAAAGAATGGACTTTTTAGTCTTTTCAAAGTGCAGATAGCAACTCATTTTCATTTTTATAATTAATAATCAATTAAGCAAAAGCATGTCTTATTGTTCAAGCAAAACCAAGTCAAAATATATTAAAATAGGACATTTTGAACTTGAGCCAATAATATGTTCATTGAGGATTCTCTCCAGATCCTCTTTGTGAGGATCCTGAAGATCTTCCAATCACGTCGGTTCATAATAGATCATACGGCCAATTTTTATCAAATACTATTTATATTTAATCTTAAATGAAAAATTTTACAATGATTTCTAACGGCACAATATACGATAAACGGAAGATTGGAGGATCTTCGGGATCCTCACAAAAAGGATCCAGAGAGGATCCTAATTCTAAGTTGTTGGAGGAATTTTCGAGGTCAGGTCACATGGAAGGACGATATAGGTTGATCAATTGAAAAATAATAAGATAGGGACTCAAAAGTGGGCTTCTCTATAGATTTTCTACTATTCTATAGTTTAATGTTAATTTCCGTGCTAAAATTATAAAATATTTTATAAAAAACATGAGTTAGCAGAGAGTCGGAGAGTCCAGCTATTGAGATAGTCCCCTTAGTATTCTCAAAGAATAAACAGTTGAATCAGTTGACATAAAATTTGTAAAAAAAAAAAACACGATTGATAAAAAAGGAGCACACAAAAGAATTTTTGAGTGAATAAATTTTACGATACTAAAATAAGGGAAGGATTTGAACTCAAAACCAGTAAATTGAATACGAGTATGATTTGAACTCGAAATTAATAAATTGAACAGAAAGATCCTATTATGATTAAAAATCTAAATGAAAAAGTGTATCAACAAATAATATTTGAGGCTTGATTGTATAGCAATATTATCTTGTTCCAAAGGAGTCCACACTCACCCTCTCTCTCCTCACCTTCTCCATGCAGGAAAAATTAGGTAAGCAAGTCAAAGCATATTCTAATATTGTAAGCTAGTCAAAGGAGAAAAAGAGTACAAATAGAATGCCCCTCAATCCTTGTTTATTTACAATAGCAACCCAATTATTATTCCAGCGAATAAACCAAATCCTGCAGGGATGATAACGACATTGCATTTGCTTCCCCCACTTTCCATCCTTTCAACCCCAACCATGCAAAATATATATTTGCGTTTTGCGGACTTTAATATCTCCACCATTTAAGCACGATATTTATTTATTTACTTATTTTTTGTTGACAGCCGGGCAGAAACTCGAAAGAAAATAAAGATTATATAAGAATATCAAGAGGGTATGAGACATCACTAAATAATCGATGACAAGAAAATGAACTTGCATAAAAAAAAACTAAACCCAAACTACATGACAAACTCAAACAAACCAAATCATCAGTAACAAAAAAAATTCAAATAATTATAAGAATTTCAAAGACTAATTTTAATGCATAATAGCACGATAATTCAGTACTAAACTTCTAAAAAATAATTACTTTCACAAGATATTTTATTACTTCACGAACTCTATATTGTTTGTCATATTATAATAAAAACTGGCCATAAGTTAACATATTTTTAAGGCCAGATCTATTTTATAAAATCTATCAATTCGAGTTCTTGAAATTTGATTCAACGGTTAAAATTATCACAAATTTTAAAATGATCCCCTATTTTTAGCCGTTTGATGAAATTTCAAATGTCCGAATTAATGGATTTGATGGATTTGGTGGAAGAGATCCGGAGATGATTTCTTTCTTATTTTTAATCCAACCAAATTATCTAAAGACTTGTTCAAATAAACAAAATTTGAAATGACCACCACCCAACCACCGACTAGTATTAAATTGCCCAATCCATGACCAAAACCACGTGCCTGACGTTACTGACGGCGTCATCACCAAATTGGAATTGGCATCTACTTATCCGTATTTTTGTATTGGCACCACGTGCCAAATTGTAGTCGGCGAGCTCCGCACTTATCGCTCAACCAATCACCAAACGTTATTCCCCCAACCAATCACCAAACGTTATTCCCAATTCTCCGGGGACGACCCTTGCCACCAACCAAATGCTCCTTTGTATCCACCGTTTGATCAAGTTGCCCACAACTACCTTATAAAAAGACACAAGTATTAGTTCTCCATTTTGGTTTGGTGTTTAGTATTCCTGAAAGGGAGTTAATTTCATCATTTGCCTTCATCAAAATTGAAATATGACTGAGTTATTCGTTCTAGTTCAATCATATAGACCAAACAAGGGTTGAACATCCTGAATTTAATATACGTATATTAAAAATTGGGAATAAGGTACAAATATTAATTAGAGCACATTTAGCTTATTGAGTGATACATAACAATCATATAGACCAACACAAGGGCTGAAAGTCTTAAATTTAATGTACGTACTTCAAAAATTAAAATACATGTATTAATATAGCACATTTAGCTTATTGAGTGATACATTTGATTTACTAAGTGTGGTACCATTTCAATAATTTATTATGCCATATGTTTGGTTTTGTCATGGGCATTTATTAGTGTTAGTGTTCAATATATATTCACGCTTAATACATGTTTGTGTCTTAAGAAAACTACTTGTATATGTACAAGTTAAGTAACTACGAAAACTAGCGATTAAGTCTTTTTATGTTTTGGTTGGTGAAGTGATTAGAATTAAGTGATGATTAGGAGTACTGCTACACGTATTATATTTTTTCATACCACATCACCTCTCCAATAGAGATAGGTTCCACCAAAACATGTGAGTTTCATTTCTATTAGCGAGATGATATAAATATGGTATAGAAAATAAGGTAAGTGTAGCATTTTTGGATGATTAAAGGTATACAAAGAACGTAGGAGGAGTAGGTGGGAGAATTTTTATTCACCATCATAAATAGGGTGCACCATACACCTAATTATCTGCATCTTTTTACCTAATTCTAGTTAACTTTCACATTAAACATTACTTTTTAAATTTTGAAAAAAAATAAACCAAGATAAGTGAAAGACACGTGACAGATGTTTAGGTGCATACACTATAGTTTTTGGTGGTGAAAAAATGTGCTCCTAGAGAAGGTGATGGAATGATTGGTAACAATTTCAAAAAGAGAAATGCTAATAAGTCAACTCCTTCCCATATACTACTAGTGAAAGGGGAAAACATAAAGACAATCATTAAAGCCAATCACTAATGGAGAAATATGTGCTTCTAAATGTACCACGGATTCCTATCAAAAAGGGTTTGTAACTAATCGTGTCAGGAGTTTTTTGGTTTATTATTAGGAATTTTGGAACTATCTCAAAATTGAAACTCTCTATGTTATCTCATGTTTTTGAAGTAATATTTTATAACATTTGCACGATAATTATGTTAAAAACATAAAATGACGAATAATTCATAAAAAGTTCCCGTGTCTCCTGATCATTTCTAATTTCAGAAAAAAAAAAAAAAAACAAATTGAGAAAATTAAGGCTATTAGATTGGTCAAATGAAAACGTGCCGAAAAACTCCAAGTCGCTACGTGTCATGAAAGCAATTGTCGAGCGCAGTTATTTAAACAGGAACGCGAAAACACGGGATCATTTAATCGAGTGGATATATATCCACCGACGCTAGGGCCCGGGCAGTGGGCTACGAACGTACAAAGTCGACGTGTCCCCTCCCCTTTTCAAACGGTGCGTCTGATGCCAACGCAAGTGCAGGACTTCGCCACGTCACCAAATTATTCGCACGCGGGAGTGGGTGCGTGGGGGAGGATTTCAAACATTTAGGCCAGTTGGCATGACTGAGTAGTCTACTGGCCAACCTTATCCTCTTATTTTTTTATTTATTTTTTCGAATTTAGAAATTTACTCCGAAAATATATAAATAAACAAATTTATTCATTTTGTTCCACCAGAAAGAGGGAAGCACAAAATATTTGTTTTTATGTTTGTCTGGGGAGAGAGAGAGATTTTCGAAGACCAAACCAAACCCTAGATTTCTTTTCCTGCTGATATCACCCCCAATTCATTTTTGTATTTGAATTTTCTGATCGAAATTTTTCCTGCGAAAGATTCAAAATTTGTTCTTTCAAACCTCTGAAAGGTATCAATTTTTTCATTTTTTGGAAATATAATCATTGCATTCAATTCACCCTCTAGGGTCTGCTTTGTTTTTTGGATATTAATTGAAAGCTTGAGATTTTATGATGTTTTGTTTTTTGTTGCAATTTTTGGTACATGGGAATGTGATTAATCAATGCTTAGTTTGCTACAAATTGAAATTGATGCCTGTTTATTTGGTGTTATTGCAGATATTGCTTAATTTTGGTTATTTCAAGAGGGCAAAGAATCTTGGGTCGGGTTTATATTTGCGAGATCTTGTCTGTGATTTTTGAGTTGGATTGGGAGAAACCCAGATAAATTCTGTTCAAGATGATGTCCAAATCGTATACCAATCTTTTAGATCTTGCTTCCGGAAACTTTCCGGTAATGGGTCGCGAAAGACGGCGGCTTCCGCGTGTAATGACCGTCGCTGGTGTTATATCGGAGCTCGATGATGATCAGGCGGGTAGTGTGTCGTCGGATGTTCCGTCGTCGATCATTCAGGACCGGATAATTATTGTTGCGAATCAGCTCCCTGTGAAAGCTAAGCGGAGACCGGATAACAAAGGATGGAGCTTTAGTTGGGATGAGGACTCATTGGTATTGCAGTTGAAGGACGGTCTACCGGAAGATATGGAGGTTTTGTATGTAG